TTTTTTTTTTTTTTTTTTTAATACTGACAACACAGACAGGATGATTTTAAAACTCTCCTCGTTAGCAAGTGTCTCCTCTTCCCAGAGCGCTCGCTGGAGCCTTTCATGACCGTAGTTCCATCAATATTTCAGCTTCAATTTTCATGTCGCTGTTGAGGAATCAATTGGGTTGGAGGGGAGCCTCTCTCCAGTTCCTTGGAGCAAGCAGACATGAGGACTCCTCAATTAGCAGGCCTCTGGGTGGGTGTTCAGCCCCCTGCCGAGGACTCCTTCACCCTCTGACTCAGCTTTCCCAGGCCTCCAGCTTAGCTTCTAGTAATCGGATGGTTCCTCCCAACGCTGGGAGCTGGAGCAGAAGAGATGGTCTAATCAGGACGATTTGGGCTGGGAATTAAAACTTCCATGAAGACATGCCCCCTCCAGATGAGTGGGTAAATGAAGTCTGAAGTTACAGCAACCCAGGACCGCTTGGGAAAGTCAGCAGCCTCTTAATTAGGGTTCTCTCGCTTTTCAGCACCTACTCTCCTAATGAAGACTACAAGTGAAGGGGACCAAGGGGACCATGTCTGCAGACAGTGCTGCTCCATGAAGGTGTGAGCCTTGTCTCCTCTGAGCCTTTCCCTGTGGACCCCTTGGCTGGTGGGCTCCTTACCTTATTAGATTCACATTTTAAATTTCATGTATGAAAGCTGGCCTCTTGAATATTAGAATCCAATCAAAATGCTTGGAGTTTTAGAGTGGCATCAGAGAGGGAGGATGGAGAGCAGAGTAGCTTTTTTATTTTTTAACTTCCTGCTTAGGATTCCCATTACTTACATCTGTATAATTAAAATTAAATAGGAATCATAGGTATTAAGAACTGGAACAGATATCTGCATTTGCCCAGATCATGGTTTCTTAATTTGAGGCCCCTATATTAGTGTGCTTATTATCACCAGTTCTTGAAAAGTAGGATGTTGCCTGTTACTGACATCAGGAACTATAAAGGATTCATAATATTGAAAAGTTAACATATACGCACCTATGTTTATAGCAGTACAGTTTGTAATAGCTAAAACTTGGAAACAGCCCATTTACACATCAGCTGGAGATTGGATTAAAAAGATGTGGTTTTTCTATTAAATGGAATACTATTCAGCCACAAAGAATGAGAAATTAGAGTCATTCATAGGAAAATGGATACATATTGAGGATATACTCCTAAGTGAAATAAATAAGTCACACATGTATAAATACCGAATAGTTTCTCTGGTGTGAAAAACTACAATGGTACATAAGATCCTAATGATATAATTGACAATGTGAAATAGGAAGAAAAGGGCTAAAAGTATAGGGGAAATGGGAAGGCTAGGGGAAAGTTAATAAGAGAAAAGAGAAAATGAAAAATGGAAAATAACATATTTGTAAATAGGGAAGGGAGGAGGGGGTGAAGGAAGGCAGGGATAAGGGGAAAAATGAGAACCAAGACCTGTCATGTAAAGGTACAAGATCCCAATGATGAATCTAACTGTAGTGCATTCCTAAAATGTACCAATAAACTCAATGAGGAAAAAAAAAGTTAAGATGAAGACTTACTACTATATTACAACATCTACTGCAAAGGAGGGCCCTATACATGAACTGTTGGATGAGTGAATAAAACAGGGTGAGTAAGGCTTAACTAGCCCTATGAAAACATTTTACTTTCTGGTATCATTTTATCCCTACTTTCCTCAGTCAGGTACACTTTCATAATCATTAAATGAAAAAAGAAAGAAAGAAAGAAAAAATGGCAACAAATGAAAGCAGACCAGGATTTCGTTTTTTTGTTTTTTTTTTTTTTTTTTTTTTTTTTCTTGAACTCGGGTCCTTGCGCTTGCAAGGCAGGCCACCGAACCGCTGAGCTAAATCCTCGGCCCCAAGGATTTTGTTTTGGTGTACCACTGATGCCCTATGAGAGCAGACTTATCCACAAGATGTCTTGGCTGCTTTGGCAGAGGTTAGGTAAGTGCAAGTATGGAAGACTGCAGGTACAGTCCTTGGAGCTGGCCCTAGCAAAGATGTCTCCTTCCCTGAAATTGCCAAATAATATCTTGAAAAGACAGATCTCAAGATAGATACGAATCAAAAGCAATCTAGGAAAAATCAGTTCTGAGTAAGAAATTGATGGAAATTAATGAAAGCTGGCAGTTCATATAGAAAATTCATGGCAAAGGACTACATCCTAAACCCAGCCTCATCTTGTAAAATCCAGTATTGAGATAAGGATGAAATAGCCAATTAAGGAGCTTTGATTTCTGGGCAAAAGCTCCTATTTATCCCTAAATGACATCAAATTCCAGTAAAGACTTTGACCCAAAACTAGATGCAGGTAAGAGGCAGATTGGCCTTTGAGAGATGAGTATGCTTTCTTTAGGGTGGATCAGAAAGCAATGCAGACTCTTGACTTTCATTCAAGTGTAGGTCAGAAATCACTCAATTTTGGTTTTGTCATCTATCAGATAAGAGTAGTGTTATATCATTGGTTCGTTGGTTTTGTAATAAAAGAACTCACATGAAGTTTGACCCCAGTACCTGATGGTCCTAAGTACACACTAGAGGGCAGTCCACTTCTTTCACTAGCCAGATTTCTTGTTGCAACACCCCACCCCCATACTATTAGAAAAGAGTGTTTGGAATGGATTGCAATTTAGAGATAGACCCTCTGGTGGCTCCAATTATATTAACAGAGTTTTATGTTTTTATGACAAAAATTAATTTCCATTACCTCTTCTTGAAGATAAACTGGTAAAAAGAATTCCAAAGAGACGGCAAAATAAGATGAATATTAAGGAATGTTCCCTCTAATGCTCACCATTACCATTAAATCATCTAATTCAAGTAGGTTTTTAACACCAAAAACACAGCAGAGTCAATTACAAGGACTCCCAGGGATGGAAGGCCCAGAACTTCTTCATCCAGTCACACTGTCCCCACAGAACTGGGAAGTTACCTCTGTATTGAGCCATGACACCTTGCTGGTAGCAGTGGAATAGATACCAGTGGTTGGGGCTAGAAGACCATCTGAGGTCAACTAGGCCCATGGGCAGATGTCAGGGCACCACCCACCTCATGTAGCTGCCATCCAGGTAGATTCCCTTGGTGTGGCAGATAAAGGCTTCCTCCTTGAGCCTGTGGTACTAGGTAGTATTGCACAAATGGACAAACAAAAAAAAGGGGGGGGTCCAAATTCTACCTATTCTACTTTTTGCATCTAGTTAAGAGGTGGATGTTTTCAGTCCCAAGATGTAGAAGAGAGCAATGTTACCATGACCACTGACTTTTCCTTTAGGACACATCCATGCTGTCTATGGATGAGAAACAACACCTCTCACAAAAGTAAAAAACCCTGCTGCCTATGATCACAATACGGAATTGCAGACACCAAAGCAAACCAAATAGAAGCAATGTCAGGAGAAATAAAATATAGCCATGCAGAAATTCAGTTCAGAGATATAAAAGATAAAATTAAGAAAAATAGTCCATAGAGAGTTCCCATGTCACCCTAAATCCCCCACACTACCCTAAAACATTCTGTCCTTTAGATTCTCCACAACAGTAGCCAGCTGTGTATTAAAGCCATACTCATTATGGGAATTGTGTATGTCTTGTGATTATTGAGCTCCTGTACGGCTAACAAAGCACCTTAGTTACCTCTGAGTCTCCAGTGACTGGTAGTGCACTGAACAAATGAACAAGTCCACAAATAAATAAAAGAGTAGTTTAGAAAATGAATGACAAGGCAGAATATGTAGATGCATCCTGACAATGGTTAGTATTCCCAGGGACAGGCATCAATAATTACAGATGTAATAGAAGAAAACTTTGCAGAACAGAAAACACTAAAGGGATCTGAGATGAGAAATGGAGAGGGACCATCACATGTTCTATAGAGTTAATGATAAGAAAATATACCAAGGCATATCTTAGGAGGAGGGGAAAGAGCTTTCAATTTCAAAGATAAAGATTCTGGCAAGCTTTCAAGCTAAAAATGAAAAAAATTCTTACATGCTATCCTTCAAAAAGATTCTTTGACTTACAAGAATAAAACCCTGAGTGTTCCTGATTCAAAGTAGAGGGAAATGGAGCAGCTGATGTTATTGAAAGGGAAGGTTTTGAGAAGAGATTGTCTTTATTTTGGCATAATTTGTTACCCCTGGGAGGAGCAGCACTGCTGCATAGTACTGTCTTCAAAGGCTTCAACCAGCATAGCTGAGAATCAGCTGCCTCTTCCGCTAGGGGAATGAGGGTCCCCATAGCACCTTGTCACAGCCTTGGAGCTTAGGTGCCCACTGAGCTGCCAGATGTCCCATGGAACAAGACACCTTTTTCCTTAGAAAAGAGTTCACATTGTGTGTCGAAACTGCTATCCTTGTGTCTCCATCACTTTCACATTTCTGGGACAAAATACCCAACACCCACAAATTTAAAAGGCAGTTTATTTTGGTTCACAGTCTCAGAGGACTCAGTTTGTGCATGATTGGCTCACTCCATGCTTTTTGGAGACAGCCCAGATTTAAACCATAACACTTTGAGAAGACCTACCTGCAAGTTGGGCTCCAGGCTGGTACCTAGGAACTTAGATTTTTAAAGCTTATAGAGTTCTCAACATTTCCTCATAAGAAACCCTCATTGTGCCTGAGGTGATTATGTAAAAGATGTAGTTTATACTAAACATGCTTTTTTTCGGTGGTCTGGAACTGGGGTTCATTCTGAGTAGAGGCAAGTTATATGATTCGCCTTTTTAAAAACCCTGAGTCTCTAAATGATCTGTCCCATTGCCAAAATCTCCTTTGTGTAGCTAAAGGAGTTAAATCCGTCTTCTCCAGTGCCCATGGGAGAAGATTCTGGAAGCTGGAAGCTGATCCTTCAAGCTTCAAGCCATCCTTATGCTTCATTACTTCGTTGACTATATTCAGTGTCCTTTTGTGATAATGAATTATAGCTGTGTGTACAACTAGATCTTGAGTCCTGTTAGTCCCCTGGTGAAATCCATCCAGCATCCTTGCTCTTTCTGTTCTACACTACGCAACATAGACTGAACTAATTATCTCCATCCAGGCAGGGATAATGACTGTTTACAGTTCTTGTCTTTGTGAAATTCTGCAGGCGCACAAGCTGGAGAGCAACCTGGTAAAATGAGGAGGAACCCAGAAAAAGCAACACCTGAGTCCCAGGTCTGCCATGCAGACATCTGTGGCAGGAGAAGAGGCTGGACATGGTTCCAAAAAGCTTCACAACATGTCAAGCAGATGCTCAGCATTCTTCCTGAGCACCTCAGTGTCATGCCAGGTTCTTGGCCATTCCTGCTGGGATGATAAAGAGTTTTATAGACCTTCAAAAACACAGACATTTTTTTCCAGCTGTTCCATCTGGTTGCTTTTTCTTTTTGCAGGCTGTCAGCAGAAAGACTCGTCTGTTGAGATATTGATGGGGCAGTGTGTGTGTGTGTGTGTGTGTGTGTGTCCGCGCGTGTGCATGTACATATACATAGATGTGTATGTGCACATAGGCATACATATTATACATTTATGTGTTTGGCAGAAAAATCTCAGGGTGGGTATGGTAGAGAAAGACACATGAAAATCATTTTGAGATATATGGAAGGAGTAGACTCCAGTTATTCCCAAAGGTCCACATGGGAACCTGTCAGCCTCAGTTTCTTTCCACTCCAAACTCCTGTTGTGTGCCCCCTACTGGGCTAGATTTGCTCTTTTGCCCACAGAATCACAAGCAATAAGATACACCCAAGTCTCTGAAAGTCAAGGCCAAGTACTCTGCTAATGAGAAAGTACAGCTGCCACTGGGATGATGGGAGACACAATACCCAACTCTTGAAATCAACTGTGCATTCTTAATGTTACTTTGTTAGCATAGCTGCTCTCAATATCTGCCTAACAACAGAAACTGAGGAACCATTCTTCTTCTTAGAGACCTAATATTACAAAGAGACTATCTTATCTATCCCTTTGGCTCTTCCTGAATATATGAGGTATCTCTGAAATGTTCAAATATGTATCTGAGTATGTAATAACAGGTACTCAATAAGGGTAACTTCTTTTCAACAGGTCTCCAAGGAAGCAGTTCTGCTAAAAGTGTTCTGTTGACATCAAAGATTGATTACTGAACATGTACTCTACATGTAGGGACTCTACTGGTCTTCATTAGGTCATTTTCTAAAGAGCGGAGATTTAGAGAGTCCTGTAAAGGTTGCAGAAATTAAGTGAAATCATCATGATTGGCATCCAGGTCCACTGGGTTGCAAACCTATGCTCTTTCACCTAGAAAAGAATTTCTCAACTTCCCACTACTGACATTGTGGGCCAGATAATTCCATGTAGTAATGGTTGTCCTGTGCATTGTAGGTTATTTAGCATCATCCTTGGCCTCAATCCATTAGATGCCCCTAGTATCCCTCTAGTTATGACACCCCATGAGATTACTAGAAACTGCTGGATATGCTCAGGAAGGGGCAGTAAATCTGTCCTCCCAACTCCCACCATCTACTGAGAACCACTGGCTTGTAACAAGCTACCTTTGAAACTTTGCTACTCATGTGTACAGGAAGCATCAGCTTCAGCAGCAGCAGAGAGCCACTACAAATGCAGAATCTCATGCCTCTTCTCAGTCCTACGGAGTCAGAATCTGCATTTTAACAAGATCTCCAAGGTGACCTGTATGCACACTAATGTTTAAGAAGGGCATTTCCATGGTATGGGTACTTTGTGATCACAGTTGTTCCCCACATATTTTCCTGGAAAACATCTAGATCTAGAGGTAAGATTTCTCACAAACTGCCCCTGGATCAAATTATATTATCTCAATCATGTTCATGAGATTCCTGTCAGGAAATCATGTTTTTAATTCTTTTTGGTTGCCACAGTCTTCCTTAAAAACCTCCCCCACTGAGATTGAGCAAGTAGTATATGGGATTTTAATCGATTCACTCAGTCACTCACTCATTCATTCATTCATTCATTCATTCATTTTTGTTGAAGTCTACTGTGCAAAGCATAAGAAACAGCATGTACAACATCCTGGGGTGCCAATTGAAGGCCTTTTCTGACATTTCACCTTTCACAGTAGCCCTCCCAAACTTATCTTACTGAATCTGCACAGAAACAGCAGCAAAGGGCCCATGACTACATGGGAAAAGGATCTTCACTTTCAACATCTCTATTGCTTTGCTTGAAATGTATAACCAAAGCTAGCAATAACCTTAAGGTTAATGACTGTCTGATTCCAATGAGAATGACTTAGTATATCATATGATGTCCCAGAGAAAGCACATTGGGAGGGATTTCAACTTGGAAATCAGCATTATTCCCTTTCCCTACCAGTAATTTGATAGGAACAGTAATTTGATGGTACATTCACTGTCTGCTGATGCAAGAATGTCTTCTACATCAAGCTCTTGGCTCCCTATGGCAGTGTTATCATTCCAAAATATTAAGGACACTCACTAGAATAGATGATCTTCAAACTTCAATTAATTTTGGTAAAAATAAGTTATTTCAAGCATATTTCACATTTAAAGGCCCCCAACCCTACCACCCTCACCAATTTCTCTTTCCAGAGGTCATTCAGAGCCAACAAAACTAAAACCAGAGCCCCCTGTCTCCCGTTACCACAAAAACTGAGGAGAGCATAAAACTTGAGACTTTGGAACTGATAAGATACAAAAGGCCTCAAGGACTGGACAGAAGGGGAAAGGAAGGGATATTCCAGGGCACAAGGAGGCAGAATCACCAGCAGAAAAAGGCTAAACAGAAGAGAAATATGGGATGAGAAGAGAAAATGGGACCAGTGAAGGAGAGACAGCACTTCAGGCAGATGTCTGGAAAGCATTTCACTCCCTGTACCTTTCAGTCAACTGTCTGACTTCTCTTCCTGGGTTTCCCTTCAAGATAGGTGAGAAAAGGAAGAGCAAGCCTATCCCAGGATCATGCACTGGTATCAGCTCATGTACTTTTTACTCTACTTTGTAAGAATGTGAAGTCTCCAGCCATAGACATCTTCCAGTTGGTGCAGAAAAAAGACTATCCTGTATGCCACTGTCCATAAATGTACACAGGAACCAATGTGCACAGTGTGTCATGATTTTGTGTCTGATATTAATTTTATATATTTTGTATATGAACATATATATTCATAAAGGATCTGTATTATATAACACAATCTCATAAACATAGAAGACCTTAAAGATTAAGTGGCAAACATCCAAATGGAAAGTCCATTTGAAAGAATCAATAATGGCTCCATTTTTCAGAGGCTGATTTAAACTGGTAAAGATTTTGTTATATCTGCTCATTTCAGAAAGAAGAAATGATATTGTAATTTTTTGTGAAGACGCAATGCAATCTGTGCATGTGCAATTTAGCAAGATCAAGCATTATTTAGATTGAATTTAAGAACATTTCTCAAATCAAAAGAAAAAACATACTGGGTAACCTGCACACCAGGTTCTGTACTTAGCATTAAGAATATAAAGGTGAGACCCCAGAGGAGGTCTCTCCAGCTGCCTGCTCAGGCCCACCTGGTGGGTGGGAGACCTCCCCAACTGCACTCCAACAGATCCAGTAAGGAAGGTAGCTGTGTGGGCGCCCTTGAAACACCCCCATGACCTGCTCCCCCACCCCATTCTCAAACCTCCTGATTGGGCCAGTCCTTGAAACCACTCTGCAGAGGCATAGGTGGTCATGAAGGGTAGTTTTCTGAGCTCCCAACTTTGAACATCTTTAAAGAAAGGGAAGGGGAAAACTGTAATAGAACTGAGTGGAGTTCAACCCTGCAAGTTGGGAAACTCAAGTTAGGCATTGTGGACTGAGGTCAGTCTGAGTCGTGCGGACCTGCCATTGGCTAGCTGAGATCAGGGGATTCGGTTCTGCATATGGCTGTACATGTAGTATAATATGACAATAGAGACATAGTCTGAAAGAGGCCCTTCAAATTCTTTTTTCTTTTTTTTCTTTTCCTCATTCCACCCTAAAATTTCTTTCTTTTTTTTTTTTGTCCTTTCTCTCCAACACAGTCTCTTGCTCCACCATATTATCCCTCATCTCCCTTTTTATTCCTGCTCTTGCCCTAACTCAGACTTCTTTTATTATTTTTTCTTTTTCTTTATGTTCTTTCTCCTGTCATTTTACCTCACTCATGGCTCTGTAGCTTCAAGGGAAGGCAAGCCCCTGTTACTGTTAAAGGGATATATTCTTGTCCTTATTCCTGCACTCTGTCTATCCCCTCTGAAGTTAGTAGCTTTGTAAAGATAGAAAGGTCATTCTACATCCTCTGGTTTCACTTCAAACCTGCTCCAGTTCTTTCACTTATCTACTCCTCTCATCCTAACTCAGTCTGACCCCCCCCATCCTAAATGGTAAAGATGCTATATTGAAAAGTGTATGCAGTGCAAACATATTTTGGGCTGCTTCTTTATATTAATTGAATTCACATGGGTTAAAGGTGATAGATTAATGATGACCACAAGTGGTCAATTTGTAAGCTGTGCTTGATCCTATTGGGCTGCTTAATGTATCAATTGGGATAAAGGATTGTGATTGATTTAAAGAGTTGTTTTCTCCAATATTATGAAAACGAGGATGTCTATGAGTCATTAGAGACTCAAAAGCTAAAATGCAACTATATCAGGAAGATTTAAGTAATACCCAGAAATTAAACCAAGGACAACCCAACAACAAAAATAAAAATGAGAAAACACTTAAGCAAGACACAAAAACAGACTTCCAGGTCACCAGTGGCAAACAGGACAAAAGAAGATGAAAAGTCTGATAGTGAACCAACAGGACTCCCTGGACCCATAGCACAGGAGGTAACAAAACAGGTCAATCAGGCTCTAGAAAAATTCAAATCAAAAATAATATCCCAGTTAACCATAGAGATAATGAGCAAAATGGAAGTCATGATTCGAGACTCTAGAACAGAAAATGACAAAAAAAAAAAAATAGATGAGCTCAAGACCATGATAGAATCCATGAAGACTTAGCATAAGAAAGAAATGGAAACAATGAATGCCCAACAGAGGAAAGAAATGGAATCCATAAAACAGATTCAAACAGATATCCAGGAGATTAAAAACTCTATTGAAAATGTACACAACAGAATAAAAGATTGCAAAGACAGAATTTCAGATATAGAAGATAGAATCTCAGTCAGTGACCACGAAAAGAGGTCTCTCAAAAACAGTAAGGGATCATGAGAAATCGATCCAACAACTTCTAG